GCTGGAGTAGGCCCAGCGGTTGACCTGTTGGACTAGGAAGAGAGGTGGGGAATTCGCCGAAATTATGGGCAAAGGACGGGGGAGAAGGTGGTAATGCAGGATGCCTCCTCACACCGAGTGACATTTGAGAACCATTACTGTTTACGAGATCATTTTGCTTAACGGATTGAAGCGGACTGGTCAATGATGGTGAACGCTCGTCCTCAAAAGTTGGGAAATTTTGGGTAACCCAAGGAGATGGGTAAGCCAGCCTGTGGTCAGACAGCTCTTTGTCCTTATCTGAAGGGTCGTGCTTCCCAATGACTTTGTTTGAGAGTACCCCCAACTTCTCAGCACTTCCAAAATTTCCAAGTTCTTCATACCTGGAGGAAAAGCTAGGCATAGAGGTTGGTCCATCAGGGTGGTACTCCCCAATGACTTCCATCTGGTGTACAAGCATCTCCTCTCCCAACTTCTCAGCAATTTCCAATTTTCCATGTGCACGATATGTAGAGGCAAGATTGGCCATGGAGATCAATGTATCGGGGTGGTGCTCCCAATGACTTTCATCAGGAGTACAAGCACCTCCTCTCCCAATTTTTCAGCACTTTCCAACTTTCCATGAGCACAATATATAGAGGCAAGGCTAGCCATGGAAGCCAATGTATCAGGGTGGTTCTCTCCAATCACTTTCTTCCGGAGCACAAGCACCTCCTCTTCCAAATTTTCAGCACTTTCCCACTTTCCAAGTGCATGATATGTGGAGGCAAGGTTGTGCATGGATATTAATGTATCAGGGTGGTGCTCCCCAATGACTTGCCTGGAGAGCACAAGCACCTCCTCTCCCATCTTTTCAGCGCTTTCAAAGTTTCCAAGTCCATGATATGTAGAGGCAAGGTTGGCCATGGATGCCAATTTATTAAGGTGCTGCTCCCCAAGAGGTTTATTCAGCTGCGGAGTCCCATTGGTATTTTCTATGCCCAAAATTTGTGTGATTCCAATAGTGTTTGTAGGTTCTTTTCTTGAATCCTGCTCGGACTTCGCCCCATGATGCTTGAAGGTCAGTAATGACTGGGATTGGATGCCCTGAAATTGTGCATTGAAGCGTTCCACAAGGTCATGCGCATTGGGAAATTCTGTGTCTGACTATACCAAGGTGAGTACTCCTTTGTCTAAACCCTAACACTCAAACATGTGGGGCCTTCAATGGATTACTCACCTTTTGCAACAGACTCTCCCACTGTCTATCATGTGTCATGATAAAATCAATGTTGTTCTACACAAGGATCAGTGACCATAACTCATAGCTTAAGCAATTGTATTAAGGTACCGTGCTGTTGTAGAAATACTGATGAATAGTAGTTGATGGATGCGGAAACTGTTAATTCTCTAGTTTCAGTTTCAATTCATGCCAAACTGGATGACACATCATACCTTTTGTCTGGGAGGTAGTAACCTCCACTTCAAATGCTCTGATGTCATCTCTTTTGTTGGCATCACAATAGGCTCTGAGGTGTCTATTTTCTGTCCACTGTTAACTTCTACTGTGGTGCCAATACCTTGTTGAAGTGGCGTTCTTTTACTAATCCAAAATCCACGGAAAAACACAGTCTCCTTCTTCTGGTGTTCTGAGTTGGTAGCATGGTTAGTTGGACTTGCCAGACTGCTTTGTAACTTGTAGGCTGTATTGTTTAAACCTGGTGATTGCTTGGATCTGAAGGTGATGTTCACCTGGCTGGTATCTGCATTTGTGAAAACAGTCATGAAGCAGCAGCTACATTTATGGCAGCCAGTGATCACGCCCAGCTCTGGTGGGTTCACTTCCGAGAGTACCCTTCTGGTGTTCTGATACCACATTTGTAGATTTTCTCGAATATAGGGATCAATAGCATCCTCGATATGACGATCTAACTGTTGAAGTATGGTGCCTCTAGGGACAATGAGTAAAGCACCATCAGGTTGCCTGCTTGTGAACCGAAGTCCGCATTCAGATGGCTCGTCATAATCACAGCTACTTGTAATCTCATCAGTATGCTTAACCACGATGTATAATTAATCCATATGTACGAACCGAGCATTGTCATCATGTCCTAAGTGATGGACATAAAGGTTTTCAGGGCTTTGATCATTGGCTGCAAGCCTTGTTGAATACGAGATATATTGACCGTGCTGCAATCCTGGGCTATCATAATCGGAGGGCTCAATTGCTTGATTGAAAGGTTTAAAACCTTCAGGAGCAAATCGATTGCGTTCACTATTTTCGGGAAGGAAAATATTAAACAGATAGTCATAACCACCTTCCTCATTCAAGGTAATGACATCACCAACTAGCAAACCTTCTTCATAGAAGAGAGCGGAAGCATTTCTGGTAGTAGGACTTGAGTTCCAGAAGGGGATCCCATACCCTAGCATAAGAAGCAGTTTTGAATAGGGCACACTCTGGTGCTCTGGGTGAGATAACTGGGCGGCAAGAATTGAAGGCGGGACACTGGTAGGCTGTAAACCAGGTGAGGCAGAAGAGGAAGAATTAGAGTTTGGTTCATCATGGTTAGACTGTTGTGTGGCAGAATGGGGAGGCAAGGGAACCGCTGAATGTATATGAATCTCTCTTGCAGCATAAAACCCGCTCTGAGCAAAATGAACAGCATTTGCATCGGGGAACATCAAACTATTCAATAAACTGGTTAAATTATAATGCCACAGAAAATTAATTCAATGACCCATGTGCTCTTGAGGTTGGTTCGCTTGCATTTGGATCCCTCAGATTGAGATCACGGGGATTGGACCTATTAAGTAGCCATTAACGCATACAAGAGACCTCGTGCAAAAGACATACCTGGTAGCTGTGGTATGTCGCCAAACAGGTATTCTGCTTGGCCGCTCTCTAGGTGACTGTTCCGGCATGCACTGTATCTGATGTTTACGGGCACGCAGGCAGACAGCTGGCAGACAATCAACCAAGCAATCAACTTCATCCCTTTCTTATATACACGAGGCAGTTATGAGACATGTGGTCAAGTTTATTCAATAGATGCCTGTGTACTATTAATGTCTGGAACATCATTTAAACCATATGTATATGGAGCATAAAAGGCTCTGCCCGGTCTGCCGGATCATATATCGGTCAGGTGTCAGATGCCGTGACCAAGCACGGCATATGTCCCGGAACCAAGCCGGAACGGGAAAAAAGGTACACAGTTCGTCCCCACCTCCATCCAGAACAGACTGACCCTCTTCAACTCTGAAAAAACCTTAATAAGCTCAGATGTGCAATGGTTTTTCAAGCAGAGCTGGCGTCTCAGATAGTGATGTCTGTTTCGTGCGACCTGTTGGCGACCTGACACCAAATCGGGTGTCAGGACATGCATGGCCACCCGGCACTTCGATGCCGACTCACTGGCTAGCACTTTTTCTTCTTCTGTTCTCTCTATCGACCTTGTATCGAGTCAGCGACCACCTCAGTCATCTTGTTGCCATGTATCACCATTGCAGGACCTTGTATCAAGACTGACCAGCATCCCGGCAGTCTAGCTTTCATGTCTAAGCTTGCCTTGAACTATATGAAGATGGGAAGATACAAGGAGGCTGAGGCATTGCAGCATGAGATTGCACAAATCAAAGCTTTCAACCCAGCCGTAGTATGATAGGATATCACTAGTAGGAGCAGGTTACCCTCAAAACTTAATAGATTAATTGTTAGTAAATTGACCATATTCTGACAAAACTTCTTTCTGTTCTGGTGCAGGGCGCCGCCTTCATTGGGGACCATCAACTTTTGGTCCTGATATACATGTGTGAATGCTCAGGCTCAGGCTATATATGGATCGTGAGGTAGCCATTAAATAGTTCAAGGAGGTTACTAGTATTGGCAATATTCTTCCAACTTACATTATCTTAGCAATTTTTAAGTAGTAAGTACGGACTTTCTGCAATAAGTATATTAGGGGAGAGTACAAAAAAGTTATTTTTTAGCAAGCAAATAAAATCAGAACATCCACCCTACATCAGATATCGTAGTAAGCGGGCTAGGTGATTTTGCCGTGCAGCCGGTGCGTGGTGCGTGCGGGTGCGTGCACGCACCTACTGATGCGTGTTGCACGGTGCGTGCAAATGTATATCACAGACTCAATTTTAACTCCAGACTCAGCAAGAAATATGTATTCGTCGGTAATATTAATGAGCTTGCGGCAGTTGACAAGGTCCTAAAGGTAATTCTACACAAATTTTATTAGGAATAGGACAGTCATTACACACTTCACGCAATACTCGCACGCACCCGGCATCACTTGCACGCACTTGGCATCACTTGCACGGCACCACTTGCACGCACCCTCGAAATGATGCGAGGGTGCGTGCAGCTTGTGATGGCGGGTGCGTGCAAGTGATGGCAGGTGCGTGCAAATTGCAACCTGCACATACTTACTTGTCAGGTACGCATCTATACTCTTTCCTTACAAGTAGTACCTTATGTGCCCAGTGCAGGCCAATTTATGTTTTACTATAATAATAGGTACTTAGAGGGATACTTACAATATATATATAGTACTATCTGCCTTGTAAGTATGGACCAGCTTCTTGGAGCTGAACAAATGGTAATATTTACACTACTACTTCAAACAATGAAGTGTAATTGGTAGTCTGAGTAGCTCGGCCCGGCCAATATGCACGCACTTGCACGCACCACGCACCGCGTTTGCACGCATTGCACGCACCTAGCACGCACCACGCATGGGGTGCACGGCAAAATATATGTGCCGGTAGTAAGCAGACAAGTCCGGATTTGAAGTGTGAAATTTGAATGAGGGTTTTGTAACCCCTAAGTATGCGTCGGGGTCCGGGTCACCCGTTGAAGGCGTCATTAAACAATGAACAATGGGTCATGGATCATGTATCTAACGTTCAAAGCAGAGAGATTCAGGCTTCGGAGGCAGGGACAAATCCAGTTGCCTCCGCGAGACTTTCCGGAACTCTACATAAATAAGTGAGAAAATAGAAAGACTTTCCGCTATACTCTTCCAAAATAGACAAACCCGGACTTGAACCGGAGGCCACCCGCCCGACGAAAGGAATGCAAAGCGAACGTGGTAACCCCTTCACTATATGCCCAACAACATATTATAGCATGTATGAGTGATCACTGATACCTTGTTCCATCGGCCAACGGCAACATGGACTCTACAGTTCTACGGGGTACTGGAGGGGGAGTGAGCGAGGAGACAGGAAAAATTCCGCTGCCTCTGCGAGACCTTGCGAGACCTTCGAGTGATTTTTTTTACAAAATGGAAAAAGCTCGCTCGTGAAACCAGGACAGCTCCGGATTTGAACCGGAGACCTTTCGCAGATGCAAACCAATGCATGGGAGCGTGTTAAACCCTAGACCATATGCCCGATCCCATGTTATAGCATGTAGCAGTGATAGCCTGTTCCGACGGCTGATGGAACTGGAGAGAGCCACGAAAGTGTAATTGGTACTGGGTGTGCAGGTAGAAGTGCGCCCCTAATATGTATGCCAATTGGGCTCTGTTCCTTCTAATAGTCCGCATTGACTGTCTGGGAAAGGTGACCACGTACCATGCACATTGTGGGAGAACTTCATTTCATGGGGTGTACAAGAGACATAGAGAACATACAGTAATCGGTGCCCATCTCCATTCGCCAAGTTTAGAACCGTTCGACGAAAGTTTGATTAATTGATTTCTTATGAGTTAACCACTTTCTTCTTCATGGTATACTCGGTTGCACAATAGTTGAAAGTCCGAACGATGTTAGGTTTCTTCGGGCAGCCCATTCTAGGCCAATATGACGCGACGTCGCGTCGAAGCACCTTTTCCATCGAAAACTCAACTAAGGAGAAAGTGAACTTTGGATTGTGCATATTTTTAGTGTGCAGCGCATCCTTCTTCATGTAGAATAAGTATCTCTGGAGGAATCTTCCGCCTCGTGGCTGAAAGAGACGCGGTTGCTATTGTTTAAAATAGAGAAGGTGGCCGAACTTCAATGAAGCGGGGATAAGAAGAGCGGGAGGTGTAAGTAGAATCAGAGGCGCAAGGGGAATCATTAAACCAATGCCTGTTAAAACCTAAGGTTCGTTCGAAACTCGGTACACGAGTAGCCACAGTGGTTATTCAGCGATGTGTGCTATGTTGGAAGCTGCGGGTCAACCAGAAGATCATCGCCTTGAAGCTCAGAGGAGGAACGGACAGTAATATTGTAATTCTAATGCGATTGCGAGATATACATCGTAAATCGAATCTGAAAGCTCTTGAACAGAAAGGGCTAGTCATCGTTATGCCGGAAATCGCCTATAGCTCTTAGGACGTATGTACTCACCGCGACTGACGCGGACGACGTGTTTCTTTCTTGAGCTGGCTATTAGGCTTGACGTTGCTGGCCATATATTTCTTAGCGACGCGCCCAGCTTGTTCTTCGCCCGAGTTTGTCCGTCTACATTCGCGCCCAGGTAAGTGATGGGCAAAGGGCTTTAGCGAAACACGTTACAGTGAGCTCCGTGTATTTGTTCGAGTCATTAATTTTATTTTGCTTGTTGGCTCGCTACCGTTTTGATTCTTGAAGCTTGAAGACCCAGTAGCCATGGCCATGGCCAAAGATCTGCAGGTGGTGAACGAGTCAGGAGTTCAGCTTCTAGGCTTACTGTTTATCAATCGTCTGTATTCATTCGTGCCCCTGGAACCCTCGAGGATTTGCAGAATTTGGACGAGAAGCGGAAGGGGTGGTGAGAAGAAGTATGGAGGTACATGTGTAATAGCAGACCTCATTTTTGGGTATGAATTGACCTTCGTGGGTACGGTGGTAACGTATGTGAACGTATGTGCGCTCCGAGTCCTACTAACGTGGCTATCTAGCGCTCTAAAATTGACCTTTCTTTACTGACTTGATCTTTCTCATCGCAAGTATTTAGAGCTTTGCTGGTCCTTGGTACCGGTAAGTACCTAATCTAAGCTCGCTGTGTTCTCAAGTGACGTGGAATTCTTGTAGCTTAACTGTCCGTACATTCTGGAAACCAGTTCGCGAATTAATAGGACGACGCCCTTTCAGCTTCTCTCAAAACGACGCGCAACGACCCGACTTTTTCATTTTCTCTTCTTGACCATTAACTTTCAAAACACCTTGGGCTTTCAATGGCCTCTTATTTCCGCACTATTTTCGGCTTTGGCGCGCCTTCGCATCACAAACGAGCTCGTTCAGCATTCTCTTGGTCCGCGTGACGCGTAGCAGTCCCGCGCCTCCTCCTACCTCTGCCTCAACTCCCGCTCCCACATCCGCCAGCATCGCCCTCAACTTGTCCTAGTGCCGCCTCGGCTGTTCGTCCTCCTGCTCCCACCACGCGTGGCCATACCAGACGCACGAAGTATCCGCACCGACTCTGGCTTGCACAGAATACGTACTATTCCGTAGATGGTACGAGCTCTGTGCGGAATTCTGGGTCAGGCGAGGGTCCTTTCGGTTTTTTCAGTCTTTCGCTCCCTTTGGGAGGCCGTCGGGTGAAGCTGATAGTATATGATGGAGAGATTTGTTCTTCCCGCTCCAGAGAGCTACAACAACGAACAACATTGTAGTCAGAGCCAGACTCGCGGTAGAGGGTCCCGGTCAACGTTCAGCGGCAGGAAGACTGCATGTCATTAACGGGTTCTTCCCCAATTGGCCGACTATTCCTCAGCATCATCATTGAACTTGGCTTCCTCCCCATCCAACTACACCCATAGCTCCAGTGCCTCGTTCATCCCTCCTCCGGCTCCTCCGCCCACGAAAAGGCCTCGTCAACCCGGACACACACCCACAAAGCTCCACTTCCATTCCCTCTTCGCCCCCACCCGCAACGCCCCCACCCCCGCCGCAATTCTCTACGACGTCATTCTCCCTCCATCACGGAACTCCGTGTGTTCCTGTATTGACACCAGCACCAACGCCTCCTCTTCTCCACTTCAAGCAAGAAACCCTCCAGCGATCCCGTCCCCACACACACCCTCTCCCAGCCCGCCACGGACCCCCAATGTATGGCTCCCCCAGGCTCTACTGCGAGCGTTTTCTGTAGGTTATCACTGCGCGTGACGGTTGTGCCTCTAGTCCTACATCTAAAGATGACCGGGAGATAGCAATTTACTTGTGCTCCAATCTGAGTCTGTATGCACCTCGACCGAAATCCAAGGTCTACGGGAAAACTGAAACAATCATCATAAGTCGCGCTCTGCCTCAGCTCAAAAGAAATTGGAGCCTTCGCTGGCAAGATCTTCCCCCAAGCTGCGTAAACGGAGCAACTCTTACCATATTCCTTCAATCTACGTGAATTTTTCACTCATATACCAATATGTAGCATATCTCCTATGACCTGGAATACCTGGAATATTAGCAGAGGTCTGAGGAAGACAAAGTCACGTAGACAAAAACCGACCTGGGGATATATTTGCATCGCCGAAGTTACAGGATATTAGATAGTACTCATGAGGGTCCGGCCATATTGAGTCGCCTTCGAGATCAAATGAGCGAATTACAGAGAACTATACTGACGCCGCCCTGATCTATTCACACTCTCATGGCTGCCCACTGAAACCTGGTCTCGCCTGGCTCCCCGAAAAATGGTGCGCGTGTGAAACACAGATCGGGGAGAAGGTGTGCATGACGGGCCAGAGGAAGATGCATGCACAATGATGGTGCTTGTGGTGAGAATGGAAGGGTGTTTGAGGAGTTCAAGTTCAAGGCTAATATGGAAGGCTTGTTTGAGAGGATTGGGAAGCCATCTTGCAGTCGGGCCATCTTGGACTGCAAGCACCTGCGGAAAGAAGATACAGACTGCAGTGATCAATCGTGGTCAAGTTGTGGTAATCCGGGAACGCCGTTTCCAAGTGCTCCAACTCTATGCTTTCTGGCGTCTTTCTCTTTCTCCCATTTTCGCTTGGCCTCCCATTATCTCAGAGTCATTCTTTCCTACCTTCCGATCTCTTCCCTTGTTACTTTCTACTGCTTTCTCTGGAATCATTTCGCTTACCGCCAAGTCATTGATGTATCTCTACCATTATCAACACTTCTAGTAGTGGTAGTATATATCTCGGCCTGATTCTTGTTCTTGTTCCCTTGTTGTTCCCCGTCTTATGCGAAGCCAAAGAGTCGTGAAATATTGATTCATAAAAGGAAGTTTGATACTACTATTGAGACGATCAAGTCAGTATTGATAAAAGCAGTTCAGCATTGGCAATAGCGGTAACGAACTTAACCGGGAACTCGGCGCGTGAGAGGGCGGTGATACTAACAGTACTTGTGGTGCCAGTAAAACGAGTGATATGTTCTAGAGCAGCAGTCAGGCTAGATTGTGAGTCAATACATATAATATAACGTACATAGTTGACAATCGATGAAGCTAGCTGGATTTAAACAACCGAGCGACCGGTTGGTAATAGCCGCCTATCAGAATCTTATCGCCTATTTATTTATGTACATAATGTTCTCTTTCCAAAATCTCAATCGTGATTCCGTCACGGTATTCAGCTGATTAACTCAGACTGCGGATTTAATATAACTGTCACATGTTGCCGCCACGATGCATGTTTAAACGACCATCCTTCTTGAACTACGACCACCATATTCATCAAAGCCGAAGTACATCCAGCAGAGTTCTTTGTCTAACCATCAAGGACAAGAAAGCTGTCAGTTAACAAATCTTGATTTGATTGCTACGCTGCTAACTTTGTACAGCAGTTTGCTCCACTGCCTAGTAGAACATGTTTGCACATGCATCCCATTTTGGAATTGAGGCGTCTACTTTTATTAACGTTGGACGAGATTATGTAGTCAACATCGGAGGAGCACAGACCCCTGTTCGGCCCGAATTAGGTATTGATAATGTCCTATGCTGTCCCCCTCCCAGCAAGGACTTTGTGGGCAGAGAATCCATTCTACAAAAACTATTCAAGTTTTTTGTAGCTCCAGTTGTATCCATTACATGTGAAAAACCCGAGATGATGGAGGATATAGTTACTAGAGTCAAGGGATGGTCAGGGTATGTTTGTAGACCACTTCTGAGAGGAATTTTCATTGACATCGCTTAGCTTTTCCTTTGTAAAATGGGATGCGAGCTCTGAGGATGGTCTTGAGAATGGGTTAGATGAATGGAACTCAGTGGTGGGCCGCACTCCGAAGAATACTCTCCTCATGTTGGAGAGCGCAGACCCATCACTTGAACTGGATTCCTACATTCCTTACTCCTTGCAAACTCCTGTTCTCATTTTAAGTATGAGCAGTAGGATCTCAGCTTTTGCCTCAAATCCTGGCTGTATCTTCATGCCACCCGCATCCATGAATAAACCAGCCTACCGGAAATTCCTTGATGATGTTAGAAGGGCCTTTGTCTGTGGGCAACGCATTGTTCCACTTGTAGCAAGAGGTGGAACAGGCAAAACACAAGTTGCTCGGAAGTTTGTTCAGGAATATGGATGGAGGTAGGTGGACATGTGGCATATTATTTTTTATTTAAGCTCATCTGTTGCTAGGTTCTCGCATCACTGGGTTGTTGATGCATCTTCTAAGTTCTGAGTCCACACTTGTTGCCAATTTCAAAATACTTGGAAATGCTGCTAACATCGGTAATGAAGTTCAGGACATCTGCCAGTTCTTGAAGAATCAGAGGGAGGAATGGCTCCTGATATTTGACAACGCGGATCATGGTGTAAATCTTGTCAAATATATCCCACAGTGCAATCATGGCAACTTTATCATTACAAGCCGTGATAAAGATGTCCACCAGCTGTCATCTGATAGATCCTTTGGGGATATCACAGATCTTAGTGTAGATGAGGCCATCAAGCTTCTTCTCAAGTCTGCCAGTCAGGAAGATACAAAAGATACCCACCTGGCCATAGTACATGCTCTGGGTTGCCAGGCCTTGGCAATTGCCACTGCTGGGACTTATGTCTCCCAACACCCCACATGTCAACTTAAAGACTATCTAAAAGTCTTCAATCAAAAGCATGATGCATTACTTAAGTATCCATTGAGGACTGTGGACAGATATGAGAGGACAATTCTGGCTGCATTTTACCTTTCTTTTGATTTTTTGTCCCCGCCCACACAGGCCTTCATGCAAATGTGTTCATTTTTCCATCACTTTAGCATTCCTGTTGACATATTCTATCGTGGAATATCCTTTACTAAGGACAAAGATGAGATACTCCCTGGTGAAGAGGAATCTGTGAATTTGATTGCAGAGAAGTTGATATCCTTTGTGGGCAAGTTTTCTACCAATCTTGAGGTAGATGCAAGTATCAATGAACTTGCCAAGCTGTCTCTAACGGCTTACAATCCAGCTAATCAATCACTTTCCTTTCATCCTGTTGTTCACCACTGTGCACAACAGACAATAGGCAAAGATAATCCGGCTCATACAGCTACACTCCTGTTGGCTCATGCAACGCCTGGGTACGGGGTCTCTGGTGATGATTATAACTTTCAACGGCAGCTTTTTCCACATGCACATCACCTGTTTCAGGATAGGACTAGTTTTCCAGGAGTGTTTATAAGTCTAAAGTTGTCATATATCTTTAAGCAGAAGGGTCATTGGTCCATTGTTGAGAGGTTGGAAAGACAAGTTTTGCAAAGCCAGAAGACTGCCCTTGGAGAGCAACATCCTGCCACTCTGACTTCAATGTCCAACCTTGCCTTAACATATTGTTGTTTGGGAAGATACAATGAAGCTGAAATATTGGGGAAGGAGGTGGTACAGGTCCGCAAAGCTGTGCATGGAGACCAACACCCTCACACTTTGATATCCATGTCCAACCTTGCCTCGACATATTCTAGTTTAGGAAGATACAATGAAGCTGAAGCATTGGGGAAGGAGGTGATACAAGTCTGCAGAACTGTACTTGTGAGTGTGGGCCACTGCGCCAAGCGCATGGCAGGTACGAGTCCTGTAAAACACTAGTTATAAAACCTTGAACGGAAAAATCAGTATCACTGGCGAAAGATAAAAAGCTAAAGAGCGGGCAACTATTAAATGCCATGTGGCAGGAAAGAGTGCACTGCACCAAGAATTTGCAGATCAGAGGCGATAAGACGTGCAACTGGAACGGCAAGAATCAGAATAAATCAAAGAGCATCACATGCCAAACGCTTTGACATTCCCAAATATGGTGAAACGACTCTCCCTAATTTGGACAAGATCAACCCTAATCGGGACAAAGTTCCCACGCGAAACCGGCCATAAGGACGAGCCTTCATTACATTCAGGACTCGTAACTTGGAGACCAGCATCTTCACACTTTGACTTCCATGTCCAACCTTGCCTTGACATATTCTAGCTTGGGAAGATACAGTGAAGCTGAAAGATTGGGGAAGGAGGTGGTACAAGTCTGCAAAACTGTACTTGGAGACCAGCATCCAGGCACTTTGACTTCCATGTCCAACCTTGCCTTGACATATTCTAGCTTGGGAAGATACAATGAAGCTGAAGTATTGGGCAAGGAGGTGGTACAAGCCTGCAAAACTATACTTGGAGACCAGCATCCCAACACTTTAACTTCCATGTCTAACCTTTCCTTGACATATTCTAACTTGGGAAGATACAATAAAGCTGAAGTATTAGGGAAGGAGGTGCTACAAATCCGCAAAACTGTGCTTGGAGACCAGCACCCAGACACTTTGACTTCTATGTCCAACCTTGTCTTGACATTCTATCATTTGCGAAGATACAATGAAGCTGAAGTAATGGGAAAGGAGGTGCTACAAATCCGCAAAACTGTGCTTGGACCCCAACATCCTCGCACTTTAACTTCCATGTCCATCCTTGCCTCAAACTATTCCCAGCTGGGAAAATACAATGAAGCTGAAGTAATGGGAAAGGAGGTGCTACAAATCCGCAAAACTGTGCTTGGACCCCAACATCCTCACACTTTAACTTCCATGTCCATCCTTGCCTCAAACTATTCCCAGCTGGGAAAATACAGCGAAGCTGAACTATTAGAGAAAGAGGTAATGCAAACCCGCAAAACTGTGCTTGGAGACCAGCATCCTAACACTTTAATTTCCATGTCCAATCTTGCCTTGACATATCATCATTTGCGAAGGTACAATGAAGCTGAAGTATTGGGGAAGGAGGTTGTACAAATCCGCAAAACTGTGCTTGGAGCCCAGCACCCTGACACTTTGACTTCCATGTCCAACCTTGCCTCAATATATTCTAGCTTGGAAAGACATGATGAAGCTGAAGTATTGGGCAAGGAAGTGGTACAAGTACGCAAAACCGTGCTTGGAGCCCAGCATCCTCAGACCTTGACTTCCATGTCCATCCTTGCCTCAAGCTATTCCCTGCGGGGCAAATGCAATGAAGCTGAAGCATTGGAGAAGGAGTTGGTACAAATATCCAAAACTGTGCTTGGAGACCAGCATCCCGGCACCCTAGCTTTCATGTCCAAGCTTGCGTTGAACTATATCAAGATGGGAAGATTCAAGGAAGCTGAGGCATTGCAGCATGAGATTGCACCAATCAAATCTTTAAACCCAACTGTATGATAGGATACTAGGTTGATATTAGGATATGATTAGTGATTACACTTAAAACAAATTGACCATACTCTGACAAAACTGTCTTTCTATTCTGGTGCAGGGCACCGCCTCCAGCGGGGACCATCAACTTTTGGTCTTGATATACATGTAACATGTGTGAATGCTCAGGCTCAGGCTCAGGCTCAGGCTGTATATGGATTGTGAGGTAGTAGCCATTAGTTCAAGGAGGTTACTACTATCAATGTTCTTCCAACGTACATTATCATGGCAATTTTCAGTAGTAAGTACGGACTTTCTGCAATAAGCATAGTATTAAGGGGGAGTACAGAAAGTTCCTTTATAGCAGGCAAATAAAATCAGAACAGCCACTCTACACTCTATACTGAATATCATAGTAAGCAGACAAGTCTGTATTTGAAGCGTGAATGAGTGTTCTTTCATGTAAAATGAATGGGGACGACCTCTAGTATAAAAGTTCAAAGTGTTAAGGTAAAGGGGTAAGTGAGGATGGCAATGCGCTAAGAGACTTCGTATTCCAACTAATCACAGCCGATGCAAAGCAGCAGAGTTTTTTCTTCTTGTTGAGAACGGACCGCCGGTCCGACGACGGTTGTTTCGGGCTCAAGTAGCACCACCGGCATGATACCCGCCACCCCGTGTCTTACTGTATTTGTTATTACTTTACTATTTATATTGACTACCGTACTTCCAATAAAGGGATCGTTTGCGCCCCCCGTTTCCGCGCCCCCTAAATTCTGTCTGATAAGCTTTTGCTTATTATCGCTTCTGGACCTATCGCTCACACTTCTGTTTGTGGCCGGCGGGCCAAAAATGATGTCATCATCGTTAGGTGGAAGTGGACAAATCCGGATTTGAACCGGAGACCTTTCGCAATGATACTTGGAACTACTACATGCAAAGCGAACGTGATAACCCCTACACCATATGCCCAATGACATACTTTCACATGCGGGGGCATTGGTAGCCTGTTCCGACGGCCGATGCTAGCTGGGTATATTAGGGGAGAGAACAATGAAAGGATAATAGTGTAGTAGTGGAGTCTCGTAGAAATACATAAATTCAAAAGGTCAGAAATTTAACTTAGTAGTTTGTCATGGGCGTGCCCTGCCACCATTTCACCTAGCACCTTTGACACCGTGTGGCACCGGTCATCATCAGGGATGCTCAAAGTATGGGCCACTCTATTAGCATTTGCGTCCGGGGCCGGGTGATGGATTATGTCTCCAACGTTCAAAGCAAAAAGATTTAGGCTTCGGAGGCAGGGACAAATTCTAGTACCTCCGCGAGGCTTCCGGGACTCTGGATAAATAAGCGAGAAAATAGAAAATCTTTCCGCCATACTCTTCCAAAATAGACAAACTCAGACTTGAACCGGAGGTCATTCGTTCCACGAAAGGAATGCAAAGCGAACGTGGTAACCCCTTCACCATATGCCCAGCAACATATTATTGCTTGTATGAGTGATCACTGACATCTTGTTCCATCGGCCAATGGCGACATGGATTCTACATTTCTGTGGGGTACATACTGGAGAGGGAGAGAGCAAGGTGACAGGAAAAATTCCGCTGCCTCTGCGAGACCTTGCGAGACCTCCAAGCGATTTTTTTTCACAAAATGGAAAAAGCTCGCTCGTGAAACCACGGACAGCTCCGGATTTGAACCGGAGACCTTTCGCAGGTGCAAAGCCATGCATGGGGAGCGTGATAACCCCTAGACCATATGCCCACTACCATGTTATTGTATGTAGCAGTGATAGCCTGTTCCGACGGCTGATGGAACTGTAGAGGGAGAGAGCCACGAAAGTGTAGCTGGTACCAGATGTGCAGGTAGAAGTGCGCCCCTAATATGTATGCCAATTGGGCTCTGTTCCTTCTAATAGTCCGCATTGACTGTCTGGGAAAGATGACCATGTACCATGCGTATTGCAGGAGAACTTCATTTCATGGGGCGTACAAGAGACATAGAGAGAAAGAAAGAACATACAGTAATCGGTGCCCATCTCCATTCGCCAAGTTTAGAACTGTTCGATGAAGTTTGATCAATTGATTTCTTACGAGTTACCCACTTTCTTCTTCATGGTATACTCGGTTGCACAATAGTTGAAGGTCCGAACAATGTTAGGTTTCTTCGGGAAGCCCATTCTAGGCCGATATGACGCGACGTCGCGTCGAAGCACCTTTTCCATCGAAAACTCAACTAAGGAGAAAGTGAACTTTGGATTGCGCATATTTTTTTAGTGTGCAGCGCATCCTTCTTCATGTAGAATAAGTATCTCTGGGGGAATCTTCCGCCTCGTGGCTGAAAGAGACGCGGTTTGCTATTGTTTGAAATAGAGAAGGTGGCCGGACTTCAATGAAGCGGGGATAAGAAGAGCGGGAGGTGTAAGTAGAATCATTGAACCAGTGCCTGTTAGAACCTAGGATTTGTTCGAGACTTGGTACACGAGTAGCTACAATGCTCTACAGTGGCTATTCAGCGATGTGTGTTGTACTATGAGATATAAAAGATCAGAATCAGTAGTGAAGCCGCAAGTGAAGAGCATCGCCTTGAAACTCATTGGATGAACGGACTCTGAAGAGAAAGTAATTTGAGGTGTAACGCGACTGCAAGATATCTATCGAAAATCAGATCGTAAGTACTTCTCTTCGACATCGAGAAAGTGCCTGGGCTAGTCATCATTGCACCGCCAATCCAGGATTTGCACCATCTAATAGGATGTACGTGTTCACCGCTACTGACGCGGACGACGCATCTCTTTCTTGGCTTCCGTCTACGCGTGTTCTTGGCCGGCTTGATCATTGTCTGTCTACGTACGTGCCCAGCTAAGCGCTGATGGGCGCGAACACGTTACACGCAAGCTCCGTGTATTTGTTTCGAGTCATTTAGTTTTATTTTGTTTCTTGATTTGCTACTACCGTCTCGAAGTTTGCTTGAAGACCCGGTACAAGATCTGCAACTCGAGGTGCCATGAGTCAGGAGTTTTGCTCCGACCGCCCTAGCTTCCAGGTTTGACGTTTAAACGTTTACTGTTTATCAATCTTCTGTATTGACTTGTGGCCCTGGAACTCTCGAGGATCTGCAGAATTTGGATGAAAAGAAAAACTTGTGGCGAGAAGAATGACGCGGGCCTCGGGAAGTCGGCCTTTGTGGGTGGTTACGGCATGAATTGACTTTCGTGGGTACAGTGAATAAAGTATGTGCGCTCCGAGATTTAGGGTTAGTCCTGCAACTTTTTCAGGGTGAAAAATTCAGACGTCAAAATATTTCGAATGAGCGGAGCGCTCGGGACGGAACACATGATACTACAGTAACAGATGACAATATGTGACTAACATCGTTACTCGTCGTTATATCTCTTATTTCTTGCAATCTGGTACTTATTTTAAGTTGTTTTTATGATTTTTTGGCATGTTTTGAACTCTAAGCTGCGTACAAATGGAATCAGGAATGCCATGGCCCAGTTTTCACTGCTATCTGTACTCCTAGGCTCAGGGCATAGAACTGTGTAGTCAGGTCTGTGTGCACAAGAAGAAAGATACGACAGGGCATAGAACTGTGTAGTCAGGTCTGTGTGCACAAGAAGAAAGATACGAGGTCATACTAAGGATAAAATGTAGCCAAAAGAATACACATGATATAGAAGAGTATTTTCTTTCATTTTCTCCTGTTCTGTGCTCTTTATTATACCTTTGCACCTCCCTAATTCATAGTAATTGCATGATCCTACACGACGTGACAAAAGGTGACAACAAGGTCATTCTATTGCGCCATCATACGACCGTAGCGCCTTGTAGCGCCGGCCAAAGATATTTTGATGCCCGAAATTTTCGCCCTGAAAAAGTTGCAGGACTAAGCCTTATAACCGACGTGGCTAACTAGCGCTCTAGAATTTACCTTTCTTCATTGGCTTGGCTATCTTCTCAAGTGACGTGGAATTCTTATAGCTTAACTGTTCAAATGTTCATACTGGAAACCAGCTCACGAATTAATACAATGACCTTTCAAAATGACGCGCCAACGACGCGACTTTCTCTTCATATTTCCGCAACATTTTTGGCTTTGGCCCGACCTCGCATCACACTCGAGCCCGCCCAGCAAGTGCCTCAACCAGTTCCGGCGTTTCCCTTGGCCTACCACCAGCGACTCCAATTTGCTCTTATCCACGTTTTCTCATCGTACAGAAATGGTCATACCTCTGGCTCTCCCTCTTCATACCTATCCTACCATTTCAGACCAGAACAGGCAGTACGTCGACTCCTGGAGTTCCCACTATCCCGTCGACTGCACCGAACACAAACCATTTGAATATGATACAGCAACAACAGAGGAGACGAGAAGTTGGGAATCGGAGCGCCAGTTTTTTCTGCCATCTGCATTCCAGGTCCATTCCGAGGTTCACTAGATTATTACGATTCTTACTCATTGTATTCATTTTTCTTTTGCGCAGATACACATCCTCGTCGCCCCTCTCAGCCTACTCCATGTCCTCCTTCCGCTCACGTTCGCAATCTCAAGCACCTCGAAGCTCTCACAGGTTGTGTTCTGCCTCTGCTCACCCACACTCCGCCTCCAGTACCGCCCGTATGCTGAAAGGTAGCATGACGCATGTGTCCAGGGTAATATCGGCGTGGATACAGATATTCGTCACGGACGACAGTCCAACAAGCGCAGATCCAAGTCTGTTCCGACTCTGATCAGTGATTCTGGACCTCTTCCTCCTCCTACCTCTTTACCACTCCCACTCATCCATTTCGCATACATACATTTTTCGAATCCCTCTACTCTCTGATCTGCTTTTCTATACATACTCATAGATACATAAGCATATACTTGCCATTTGCATGACCTGCACGACTCTAGATCTTGTTAACATACATTGCTTTGACATCGCTTTTGACTAACTCTGACTACGCTATATATTTTTGGCTATCTGTTAGGCTATAGCCTATATGTAATATATGTTTGTATATACATATATGCGGTCTAGACCGCTTGCGCTTCAACTGTTCAATAAGTGATCCCAGAGTAATCCCACACCCCTCTTTTTTATACATACATTGTCACGCTCCATACTTATTTTAGTACAAGCTTATTAGACCCGTGACTACGTCACGGAGAGAAAGGAGGATGGTGGTCTGGTGGTATTGAGCCTGGAATACCTGGGTTCTGATATGCAACACACATTGCGCCGTATGTGTAGAATGCATGGATGAACCCAGTCCACTGAGCACTCTGCTGTTGCAGCAAAATTTGCTGGAAATTTTGAATAAGTAAAAGATGAGCATGCTTACATAGTTAGTCCAGAAGGGTTCACTTGCTGATGAGAGAACCATGACTGAGAGATAGCAGCCAAATGGTACTGTGACGTTATTGACCTGGCAGAGACTCACAAAATATTCAACTGCTTAAGCAATGATCATAGCTACGGAGGAGCTCCAAAAGCAGGCACTCAAGGGTTGAAGTATTTCAATCTATGATAATGGGACATGGGTTGCTGATATGTCAAGGAGACCAAAAACAACTTGAAACTTGGGAATGAGTATAGCTAGTGCATGTGGGGATCCAGGATACCTACAGGTAACCTATGGAAGGAACAGCTTCTGTATCCATATATGAGATATGAGCCAGATAGAACTCATACTCATGCTCATACTATGGTCTAGAACCACATTGAGTTGCTACAGATTGCTGTGTGGAAAATCATGGAAAGAGGGATTCAAAACTTGGAAGGTGTGTCATGCCACTGCTGGCACATTCTTTCATTGTGTGTTGTTGCTGAATTATCCTTATGTTATTACTTGTATGAGACTCTCCACCATCTATGGAAAGTCTATTGACTTTCAAACCTCTCTCAGTTCAGAGTTGTACACACATTTAACTGAGATGCTCCTTTCTTCCCAATTTCCATACTTATCTTGCTCAGAATACAATTATCTACAGTAATTTCCAGCTAACCGTTTACAGGGAATGGGTTTTTGGTAGGTTTTCTCATTATGTTACAGAGCCACTGTATGGCATTGGCAAATGCAGTTCTACCGGCAGCTGCTGTGCAGCTAGAACTGATTAGATACTGTATAATTACGACTGTATGCTCCCGGGGGTCAAGGCGTTACACGTTGTTTTTTGACAAACAACATGCTCAGGGCCCGCCGTTATGCGTTACGCATAACGCTAGATGCACAAATGAATAGGGGGCCAAAGGCCCGCCGCCAAGATTTGTGACATTTCGAGCAATAGCATACTCGAACCCTCCCGTTACACGTTACAGATTGCAAAATCCCCATGCTCGGGGGTCCTGTTACGCGTTATGGGAGCATCCGGTCGTAAATATATAGTAGATTAATGCTGTAGCTGGAATCTGTTAATACTTATAGTAACATTAAAAAAAGAAAGATTAGCATAGGTAGCACTTGTAAAAGAGAGGGCGGATAGAGGCTTGGATAGAGAAGCATGTATGATGTAACCAATAGGCCGGCTGCGGCTTATACACAGCTAGCCCAATCTATTAAACTGGGTAGAACCCAGAGCCGCTGGCGCCCAGCGTTACTGTTTTGATGCTAAGGGTCAAAATGAGCAACAGAACTGGGGATCAAATCAGTCCCAGGAAGCAAACGGATCGTCTCTGGCCCCACTCACTGTTTCAACTTGGGTTCAATCAAAGATGCACCCCGGTATAGCTTTCCGAATCTTTCAAATATTTTTCCGGTTATTCCCGATTTTTTATT